TTTATGATGCTCAGCCAACTTCTTGTCAAGCATATACAGGGGGCCTAAAAAAAGACACTTCGACCGAGTCACATATCAGCAAAGTTTTCGCAGCCCAGACAGAGGACGTGGATACGAGTACCAGGGCGGAAGATACCCAAGATGTTCCTCGATAAGCAGGAGCTGGCTCTCGCCCATCACCTTCATGTACACCAAAATATGAAGTCATCTCCAGTCGCAGCCTGACTGGAGAAGACCTTTGGAATTCATGTCACCTCCAAACAGCTGCGAAACTTCTAGTATGGAGTCACCCATGGATAGCTACCTGGAGACCAGTACTCTCGATCTGGAAGACCTCCAACATCGAGCAGCTCCGACAACGTCGCTACGGTCCAGGATATCATCTTCACCGCAGTCGCCAAGGCGCGGGTTGATGGTATGGACCGGAAGTTCCTGGAATGGAAAGACCGATATTTTCTTCGTGGACCCCGGACTGAAGGTGAGCGCTGACGGTTACATCGACCAACTCGTGGAGAATATCCTGCCTTCATGTCATCGCCTGTACCTTCTTGGAACTTCGTACTACAGGATTGGGTGCCTCCACACGGAATCGAAGGGCGTTGGAAAAACTCTCGCCTACTTGGAATGGAAGGGCGTTGAGTAGAAGGTGGAATATCTAAGTGTGGTCACCTGACCTAAACCCCCTCAATTACCTGGTTCGGGCGGAGTTCAATAGGGTGGTCTACAGTGGCGGAGAAATCAACGATCTCGCTGAACTCAGGCACCGAATCACGGTCGCGTGGCAGAATCTCTCGATGGCGCTCGTCCAGAAGGCTGTGGCGGAGTAAGTATCGTGACAGCATACAATATGTATGCTGTTGAATATGGTAGTGGAAATGTCCAATCAGAATTTGATAAAGTGTAACTTATAGCTCCTTGAAAGTCAAGGAAGGAAAGTGCCTTTTTTTGCCCCTGCTGTATCTCAGCTCTTACTCTCAATATAATCTGCTGGAAAATGGCTACGCAATGTCAGCTTACCAGTACTCTTTACCACCTCTGATGTATTCTAAAATATTTTTGCGTCCAACACACCATCAAAAATATTAAGGAGGATGAAAGAGAGGGCCGTCGCAGGCACAGCCACCGCAACTTTTCAGCAGTTGTTGAAGTCCACGACTAATGTCCACACATTTTCAGACTATATTCTCGCCTGCCCTTGACCCGCACGTGCAAATCTTCGGCAACAAACTCCCAGCTCGAACAATCCGCTTCCATGGACCGTCCGTCAATGCTGATGAATGGCTGAAACTAGAGTAAGAATCCGATAAAGCTACAAGTTCTGTAATTACGAAGTTCTGTGACAAGTTCCAAACTGCAAGGACACATCTCACATGGGTGCGTACAGCCCCATTAAGGCTACCCTAATAACGAGCACGCTGAAAATAAACCAAGAAGAGAGACTGCTCGTGACCACGCAAGGTAATCAAGAGAGAATACGGTGTCACATGTTTATGTACAGAATAACGGAGGGGCCTCAGCACTCAACTTGCAGCTTCTTTCCTGCGCACGTTTGAGCCGAGAAAAGGGCACATCCTCACTGGTTGCGAACCTAGGTTACCCTCATAGGTGACTGGTCTTCTGCTAATCATAAAGTGCGTCTCTATTCATTCTGAGTGTAAATATGATGTAATTCCTGAAACATATTCAAGGCTAGATTAATGGCTAATTTTAGGATGAAGCACTCTTCAATGTGGGAATCACCTCCCTGTGATAGCGTCTGCTTCAAATGGAGTGATTACGATTCGATACTGGAGCAAGAGCGAAGTCTCTGTAAAGGTAAATCGAGCAACAATCACACGCCAAGGAAACGGCAGCATAGTGGATTTCCCAGCATAATGCACCAGAGGGATACAGATAGCGGTGGGCTGAAAATCACATCGACTCATGCAGACCAAGGGCTCGGCGGTCAATCAGCTGCCTCGAAATCATTCTACGTTTTCAAATATTAGATCGAATTCACCATAGAGTCCTATCGTATTGTTAGTTTTTTTTGCCTGAAATCGGAGAAGATGTCAACTCAGAAGTCTATCAGGTATAGTTTGTAATATCGCACTCAGTCGAAAGCGAGGGGGAGGGCGCTTACTTAGAGGGCGAGATGAGTTAACCACCGGTTGCCTTGCTACAGCAATGATGCTCGGCTACTCGACTGAGGTTGAAGAAAGCCTTCGGAAGCGCCAAAAGTGGGATCATTCTATCCCTTTTCAAACCGACCCGATTGTGACGATACTAACTGTACAAGAAAGTTCAATGGAGTACCGACTTGCGAAATTTTTTTAGCCGCTCTACTTTCTAGCCGGAGAACAAAAAATTCAACTGCACGAGCATTAATTACGCTGCGCATTGTCGCTACCGTTAAGCGCTCAAAACACATTCGGCCGTTTCACATGTCAGTATGTGAGAAAGCACCGGCTAAAATCTTCGCTGCTCCGTCTAGAGAATCGCTCAGCAGACTCGGAAGAGAGAATAGAAATCAGCGTTCGAAAACCTTTCATGGCAGCATGCACTAAATGGCCTGGAACTCTTACATTTTTAGCCTTCCGTCTTATTGATCCTGTTCAAATCAATTACGGGAGTCGCAATTGAGATATCTGTGGTGCGTAAAGAGGGACGTCTTGAAAATAGTGATATGAAGTGTTGCACGATTTTTTGGGAGTGCTCAGAGTGAATTAGACGGTGAAGTGGTGTAGTGACAAGTGGCGCCTTATCCGTCCTAGGTTAAAATCCCTGCCCAGGGCAACCAAGCCTTCTACACTCCGGAAACGGTGAATTGGTACCAGATTCGTCTGGTAGGATATGGTCACCGATATGTACATCGACCCCGCAGGTCATTGTATAGGCCACATCGCATTCAATAAGCCACTACGATTCTGAATGGAAGTAGAATGCGTGCCGCATCCCACAAAGGGATTGATTAACGGCGAAGACTTTACCCTTTGTTCACTCGCAGTCAGGGTACAGCATGGGGATGTGCGAAATGTCGGTGTGAGTACGACCCCCCCCTTCGAATGGGGTCCAGGCACGACCCCCCCCCTCCTCCGCCTCCACGGCTTCTTCGCCGACGGACGAGCGATGAGTATATAGTCGGCGAAAAAGTTGTCGAGCGGGGAGGGGGGGGTATACAATATATCCCACGGGCGTACAAAATGCATATAGTGCATATAAAAAATTAATACGACCCCCCCTTTTCCACAAGAAAAAATCAACTATCAAAATAAATTTGTCTTCCAAATACGACCCCCCTCCCCAGAGCAAAAGTACGACCCCCCCATGGGTTTGACACAACGATGCTGTACCCTGCTCGCAGTTAGAGACAACTGCCGTAGATAGACTTCGCACCAACGCTTTTCATACTAAAGCATTTTAGATCTTCTGGATGATCCACACATGATGGCCTCACTCAATGAGTCCCATTTCGATCTTGCATACGCAGAGGCATTCGACGGATGCGCTCCAGGCATCTTTGAGGTATACCAACCTTTTTGCAACTGGTTCTGAGTTAGCGTGATGCAGAACGTGATCCACGATGACCTCTGCAGCACGACTACCTGAATCCAGTGTGCCGGTAACGTAGAATAGCCTTTCACCCTAGAAGTATGGCTTTTCATGGTCTGAAGTTGTAGCGCAAGTTGGCAGAGGCCTATATCGTAAGTCCCGGAGATCACAATAGGCGCGAATCCCCTCATGGACCGATAGCTCCTACGTGTTTTGAAGTTAGCTAGAGAAAGATGTGTCATGAGAGCCGAACTCCCGATTTTCTTTACAAACCTCTCAGTAAATGATATCGGTGATGACAGATACTCGGAATAAGAAGCATGGTGACTGTTTCGGCGTTGGGTATGGCACCACGACTGTACGATATCGCCGGCATCTTGCCGTTTCCCAGTTTCATGCCAGGTTCTTTTTGGATTCGCGATCTTTGTCTGAATAGCTTAGGTCCTTCGAAAAACTGACTCCTACTTTCAGCTTCCCTCACACCATATTCGGATGATATGACATTTATCGAACGCCTGCTCAATTTCAAAATACAGGTCGAGTTAATACAGCACATGCGCAAATGGGACCACAAGTTTGGAGATGTATTCAGAGCAAAGATTCCAGGATTTCCGGGAATTGGCGAGATATACAATGTGAGTCCCGTACCATCATGATAACTAAGCCCTTATATCATTCATCCTGGAACACATGCCTTTTCCCTCATGATTCAGTTTCACACGCCGACGGGAGACGGGCATTAGGATCACGCGCCATTACGCGCAGCAACTACCGTGCGCTACAGTGCACTCTCGCGACCGTGTCGTGACCACCAAACTTCGTCTCATTGATAACGCTAGAGATTTCACGTAGAAATTACATATTGCAGGGAAACTTACACAGATTCAGCACACTAAAAAGTTAAGTTTATTGTTAAAAAAAAGTTAAGCTGCTTAATCATTTACCCATTGCAGTGCTTTCTTTGTAGCCCACTATCAGAGGCCATACCCCATCAACGTATGGTTGAGGTGCAAAGGAACGTCCTGTTGGAAAGATCAGAGCGAAATGTCACTGACCCAGTGGCAGACCAATCGCGAGCATGTGCCCTCCCCCCTCCCTTGCACTGGGATAAATTCCTGCTCAGTACGTCCCTTCTTCCCTCCACCCCCCTCCTCCAAAAAAAAATAAGAAAGGACAATCAAGTAGGTTAACATCGAGTGGGATACTTTAATTTCGAACGTTCGCGCCCCTTCAGAGATTGCGCTCAAGCATTCTAAACGCTGTTCATTGTTGCACTAGAGCGAGCTAGTCCGCGATGTGGTCAGAACCTTCAAAAGTACCCTTTTTCGAACACTCATAACTTTTTCGAGAGTAGAGCTTCTGAAGAGAAGGGAAGCAGGGTTGTGAAGCTCTAGGTTTTCAGTTTACTAACCATAAGTGGGCTTGAGCGCATTCAAAACTCCTCCCTGTTGAGGAAATTTCCCCGTCGTGATGCCATTGTCGCATTTCAGGGTCACCTACGAGTTTCCTAGCTTTTATTAGCCGCAACATTCCTTCCAGATGTGATCCCTCAAAAAATAAAGAACTGTGTGGGGATAGAGAGGACTTCCCCTTCTCTGAACAGCACCACGCTCACAATTCAAAGAAATTCCTTGTGGAGTCCTTGCGGTGGTAAGTTTCGGACAATGCAAAAATGGCCCATCCCTGGCTCCGAACCATTCCCAATTTATTCGAAGAACTGTGTAAGGTTTCAGAACACGTCTCTCCCTTGAAATTATCAGAAATTAGTTTATTCGGCACCGACTCACATCCACTTTGTTTTGCGCCATGCATCCGTCGAGGTGTAGCTTCCAGTTAAGACTTCTGAGTGCCAGCAGATGTGCTCCTTCGGCACAGAAAGATCCGACATGTACTACTGTTGTTAATTCGTGACGTGGGTGACTACTGTGTTTCCAGACATTGCACCTGTGAGCTGTAACTTGTCTCTGTCTTCAGGTGTCATTCAGGTGTTCTTCACAACAGAAACCATAACAATGAATCCTTCATCAACTAGTATTACTGCTTCTCCCACTTCTGAATGAGCCTTGTGCTCACGACCTCCCGCCTGTCCTTCGCGGCCGATTACGCCCATTGTGATTTCTACAGGGACAGCGTGCACTGTCGCGTGCTTGAGTTGCGAGCACACCGTATGAGAGGTGTCGCGACACGCGGTGTCTACCGTCCGATTTTGCACATCACGCAGTTTCATGCAGTTTCAAGTAGACATGTTGAAGTCAGTTTGGGCGTACCGGGTCACCTCAGAATTTAAAATCCGTCTGTATTGGCAGAAGGCATTCATGACAAATGGTTTCTAATATGATATTGCTTTTAAGGATAAGACTGCTTTGATTTTGATTAATTTAAATGAGTTCGGGTCTCCTGCCTCTACGAATAGGATTCGCATACATTGGCGGCTGCCCAACAGTTACATTGATCGGAGGGTTTAGAAGAGGTATCCTTTGCAAAGCTTATTTTTTCCGTTCTGTATTCACTCTTAATAGGAAACTTGAAGTTTTGAAAGTCTTTCTTAGAAAGAGCAGGAGCAGGAGTCCTGTAGTCAGCACTATAGGCTGGGTGGCTAGGTGTCCATCGAAGGGGAACCCACGGGCAAGCACGCGTTGTGTAACGTCTTTCACCCCGAAAAACCATTCACCACTATCAAAAACAAATTTTACGATTGCAAGTCACGAGCAACGGGGCTCAAATATTAGTTCCCGGATTTTGGTCGACTCAACAGCGAGGAGAGACGCGCATGTTTCCTCAACCCACCATCACGGTCATCTTTTGAGAGCCTGATTTGGAATTAGACGACAAAGTACTATCTTTGTCTAGGAAAGGTAACGGTAGTTTCACAAATTACAATTCTCAACCGGTAGCGGAGTGCGATTAACATGACGACGGCCTACGTTGTAAATGCGGGTTTGGTTAGTGAAAGCACTTTCACTGTTTTTTTTATCACAGAAAGAAGAAAGCGATAAGTTTCACGCGAAGGCCGTTCTGCTAAGGACGTGCTCAGAGATCGGACTTCTCATAACTTGCGACCCTCCAGCCAAATTTGCGGCTAGTGGCCTCTTTGGTCGACCACCCTGTAGCAGACCGGAACTGTAGGGCGTTTGCGCAAATGATGTAAGGGCATACGGGCACGCGTAGGCGAGCACTGATGAGACAATTAGTAACTTATGCATCTCAAAAAAGTAAAACAGTGGGCGGCAGGAATGCGATTCCATGACCTGTTGCCTGTGGAGCCGCATCCGCTACCGCTGAACCATATCTCTGAATTTGTAACTCTGCATCACCCGAGATAAATGGCTTTTACGTGATATAATGGCTCATACGATCTCATACTTATACGATACGATCAAATCTTGAATCCGGCAGCTTTTTAGCATCCTTTTCGCATAATATCATAAGTTCGGATAGTCAGGGTGAATACAGTACCCCCGACGGTTGTGAAATCAAATGTATCAAGCTTGAACGCATGCTATATCGGTTCAGCCTCGACGCCCGCGATTCCGCACCATCACCGGGCGCCTTAGATGGCACCTTCATTTGCCGTGGGCCAGAGGCCTCGACACTCAGAGTTTCCTCTCCTTTGTCGACGGTCAATGATAAAAGGAGTAAAAAGGTACATCAACAAAGGCTGTCGCAAATACGTAAAACACAAGCTGCTGAAAGTGCTTGGAACTTGGGTAACTAAATCGGATGACAGCGTGTTGGATTAATTGTGTTCATTGCGCGACATTTTTGATTCCACGTGCAATTTTCTGCGGTATGTGTACAACCGACTTCCTGAGAACCTCATCAGCTGTTTCGCTCGGCCAGAGGGGCGAGGGGATGTGAATAGTTGTGTCCTCTTCAGTCGCATACTCTGAGGTTGCTCTACTTTATTACCCAACTATAAAGAGAAAACATGCTGCTGTCGCTCGTACTGCCGCCTCTACTGCGTCTTAAATCGAGGAAGATACACACAAGCCATGCCTGTCCAGGACTTGTGCACTAGTTCCTCGCCTTCCCTAGTAAATCGTTCGGTAATCCTTCTGAGTTACAAACGAGAGCGCCGGCGTCGGCGCATAAACTTCTAATGAACGTTGTCGCTCTGCAGTAGAGTGCAAGTGTCGGGATATTATCACCTTCTCAACGTATTCGACCATATTACACTAGAAAATGAATGATCATTTTGCCTGACTTGTATACCTTGAACGTTTACCAACAACAATAGTTTTGCAGAAATTGAATGAAATACTCAATGAGAGAAAAGCAACGGTGTTGTTTTCAATGGGTTCACTAGCGCAATCGAAAGACATGCCGGCAAGGCTTAAAAATGGTGAGCTTTGAATATTTCTCAATTGATTGTCCTTATCACCACTAATCGGCGAGAAAGGTGCCGATGTTTACTGTAAAAAAAATCGTGCTAGGACCAAACGCGTTAGTGACAAAGTCGCCACCACGTTCGCAAAGGTAAACATCCCGAATTCAGCGGGTCAAGCTGTATGTCCGATGCACGTGCCTGGCAGCGTTTCATACCGTAACTGGGGACGCTTGCTGGCTCTAATGTCCCATCCACTCCCCGTAGTCCTCTTAGCCACCCCTCTTCTGAATCGAACAGCTCGTCCACGCTACTTATCTTCTTGATTCTGATTGATTGAACAGCACTGGTAAGACGACAAGCAAATCTGAATTGAACAACACTGGGAAGACGCCAACATTGCGAGATGACTTAACTACGCATACTCGTCCGTTTTGAGCTAATTTCCGACTTCTTTCGCGCAGCCCTTTATTGCGAACCCCAAATATCCCGTTACCGTTAATTTGACCAAACAATTCATTTCTCTTTTATTTTTTGTATAGCTATAACGATGATTATCGATTAGTATTCTTCATTGCATTTCTGTACAACTGCGGCAATACTAATACAGCGGTAAGTTTTGTACATTGCTTGGAAACTTATTTTCTATGCTATTTGCTTGCTGGAAGAGCATAGTTTCATGACCATTATAGGATCATGGCCACATTCCTCTTCTCAATTTGCTCACATCTTGTTTTTTTTTCCTTGTCAAGGCTTACTCTTAAGAGTCCCAACAGCTTTTTTTACATCTTCGTTCAACACTCAGTGTATCAGTATTCGTGAATAAGAACTGACATTCTGATCTGCTGAAGAGTGACATTTCTCATAATTACTGTCATAGGGAGCGGAGTTTCGAGAAGATGTACGGGAGATTGTGTCTCCTTTGGGCATATCAAACGGAATCAGCAACGTCGCACTTCCCCTCACTCCCCTATTGAAGAAAAGGAAAAAAGGAACGTATTAAGTATGTAAATCAAAGTGATTCGTTGCCTCTAAGTCAGTACGAGTTCATCCTTAGACGTCAAACCCCGACGCCTCATCAGGTGATTCCCATTTGACGTCTAATATAGTTGGTGATAGATGATCGTGCTTCGGTGAAGGAAGTAAATATACAGGACCAAGTGTATGTACCTCACTATTATATAAGAAAGAGGATTGAAACTTAGTTCCTAATAGGTGTGCAAAAGCGAGAAGGATGCGATCTAGTCCTCAGTGTATGCGTAGATCGCAGCTAATAGGTTAGTATTACAGCACGTTAATATTCAAGTTTATTAGTACATGATATGCATTATA